CGTCCTGCCGGCCGCGGGGCGGCTCGCGGCGCCCGTGGCGGGGCCGGCCGCGGCGCGGCTCGCGGGGCCCGTGYCCAGGCCGCTGTCTCTTGCAGATCCACCCCAGCGGGAAGCTGCTCGTGCTCTCGGACGGCGAGGGGAAACACGCGACCGTGGAGCTGGGCGAGCCGGTGAGAGCGGGCGGCCCGGCCCCCTGCCCTGTGCGTTCGTTCCCGTTGGACCGTTTCTTCTTCTCCCATCTTTAACGGATGCCTTTGTCCCCTAACAGACCACCGCAAAGAACCCCCCCCCCCCAATCTTAATCGTTTTTTCCCATTAAAGATGATTAAGCAATTAAGCATTTATATATGTACAGCATATAAATGTTGCAGAGAAGTCCTGCTCGCTGTGTGAGCAAGTCCCTCCGTCACCAGCAAAGGAGTGAAACTCCTCTTATGTCTTTCATTTTTTTATGTCTTYCATCAGATAATGTATCTACAGTGGGAAATGCTGAAATGCTGAGGCTTRTTTTAACGTATCCATAGTGGTTTCCATTAATTTCTGTGCGTGGGTTGTTAAGCACTGATAAATCTGCTGTTTCCTGGGAATTAATTCTGTGTGGTTCTTGGTGGCTTTCAGGGAGTGTCACCTGGCTGAAGGAAAATGCAGTTGGATCTGGCAAAGGCTTCTGGTTTATAAATGGGAAACTTGACRTTTTCATCTTTGTCTTGCAGCAGAGATGATCTCCTGCAAGTTACAAAGTGCTTTTTAACTTTCTTGAGTGTTTCCTCTGTTTCTATGTTTACAGCCCCCGTTTTCATCAGAAAAAGACAAAATTACATAGGCAGAAGGGAGATCCGTTCCCATACTCMAGGAAGCTTATTCAAAGATGAAATATAAGCATTAGGTTTAGGATATTACAGAAATGGTATGCCATTCTTAAAGAGTAACTTACATTTATACAAGTTGAACCTGTATGTGGTAAGACATAGCTTTTACTATTTTTATTTCATATTCAACCCAGGGCTCATTAATGCCWGTGTCCAAAGCCTGTGATGATAGATCTCTGCCAGAGAAATGCACTGAGATCTCCTGAATTCCTCTGCTATATCCTAGAGTCCTGCTGGTATTCAGTGAATAATGTCTGGCTCTGCCTACCCATTGCAGGGCTACCTTCCCTCTGATGCTTCTTCATATTTTTTGTTTTCTCTGTTAGAATTGAAATGGCCATTAGAAAGCTATACATGTTTTTCTGTGCAGAAGACAGTGCACCTAACTTGGTGATGCTAATGTAATTTTTGGTACGTTCTCCAGCTAGATGAAGAGATCTCAGGAGTTATTGAAGTAGTGGGAAGAGTAACAAATCAGGCAACCATCATGTGTATGTCCTATGTCCAGTTCAGAGAAGACAAAAGTCCTTTTGGTAAGTAGGAATATACCTTTATAACCAACCAATATTGCACCTGAGCTTGCTCCCTTCAAGAAGGGAGAACCTGGTAATTATTTCTTTTGGACACTGCCTTTCTTCAAGCTGCTTCATACAGAGAACAGTGTAGGAACAGACACCACCATGGGAAAATGATGGAAAAAACAAAGGCCCACTGCTGAAGGATAGGGACAGACTCAAAGCCTGAACAGATCCAGGCTGTGGGCCACAGTCTCTCCTCTGCTCCCCTGTGGTGCTTCATCCACCCTGCCCTTGCACTGGAGCTTGTTGATTGTGCAGTTGGTGGCCTAGGATTAATCCTCCACAAAATGAAAATGYGGTGGGCTTGGGCAGAGCCAGTTAAGGAGAGGACTAGCTATACTGCTCTAAAATAAGCAATGTTTTAATGCTCTCATTTGCTGATGGGGAATTTAACTTGTGCGTCACAGCTGTTTTTCTTTGCCATCTTTCAGATCTGGAACTCTACAATGAAGCGCTAAAGATTATTCATGAATTCCCTGAATACTTCCCTTTTGGTGCTGTGAGGAACAATTGATGCTTCTTAGTGTTCATTGGGAACTTCAGAAAGGACAGCTTGCTGTTAGAAAACTACAGCACTGAGGAGCTGCAGAGCTTTCCAAATAATATACTGAAAAGATGCTATTAAATATGCCATGTGTGGCCAGTGAAAAATGTTTTCTTTGAAAATTAGTTTATTGAGCTAGAAGCAGAACACCGTGGCAAGTTTTTTTAGGCTTTTTTATTAGCAATTCTAGGATGCTTAGGAGTTTCCTGCTATCAAAGTCACTGAGGATTTAATGGAAAGGTATTTTTATAAACTTAATAATAACTTCTATGTCTAGATCTAATAAATACGTATTTTGCATTTTGGTGATGGACATTCGGCAATTAAACAGTCCAAAGGTGTTTAACCATTGGTATGAGTATTGTATCTTGGAGTGCAATTTTCAGTGCTRTGTGGTGATTCTGTTCATTTCACCTCACCTAAGTTACTTAATTCCAACATACTGCAGCATCCAGCCTACCTGCCCCTACCCTGCTGTTAGTGATGTTGATGTCAGAGGGGCTTGGTGGGTTCAACCACTGTTGCGTTCCCACCACAAGTGCTGGTCTTGGTGGCAGCTTAAGGGGAAGCAGGGAGGGTTCWGTAGTCACATCACAACTCCATTAATCCTGTCGCCTTGCACAGAAYTCCCAGCTTTGTTACTCTCTAAGCTAGGTGCAGTACATGGCACAAGTCTTAGATCTTTTAAAGCAGCACCATTGAAGTAAAAATCTACTTTCTTAAGTGTTCTCTAGGGAGTTCATAATTTCAAAGCATTTTAAAGAAACAGTGTTAGTAACCCAGGTTAATTAGAACTCCAAAACAGTTTGTATGAAAGTTAATATCTATAGTGCCTTAGGGAGGCTAGGTTAGGGTTAGTTAGGAAGAGACACGTTGTAAGTGCTTGTTATCTTCAGTGGGGGAGTCTTCCCCCCCCCCACCCCAAGACTCCTATACTCATCTACGAAAGTTACTCCAATGCTGCTGGAAGATGTAGAAGAAATTACTGGATTAGTTCCTCCATTCATAGCTGAGTGATGCTATGATCAAGTTAAGTTCCCCAATGATGATCAAGTTACAGGTTAGCCGTTTTTCTCTTCTGTGAGTAGAAAGCAGTGCCAAAGTTGTCATGGAAAAGGAGGGAGACTTTTGTGGGATGGAGCAAGTCTTGTTCTGCCAACTAGAGCAAGAAGGCCCMTGGTGGATGCTACCATGCTTTGTGCTGTAGTGCTGGCAATGCTGTAATGCCCGTGTTCAATAAAACAAAAGTCAATTTATAAGTGTATACTCATTTTCTGAGGGAATCTTTTCATACTACTCAATTCAGAAAATGAGTATGGTGGGCAGGCATACATTCTTCTGCAGAATGAAGATCTACAAAAGGGTTGGCAGTTTTTTAAAACTGTGTCTACATTAAAAAAAAAAGAAAAAGCTTGCACTAAAAATGGTCCTTTTTAAAGACATTGCAGTGCTCTGTTAGTCTAGTCAGGGGATCTGAAAAAATATTTTCATCTTGCTCCACAGTCCTCTAGTCACAATTTTATTTCATYTTCCTAGAATATCCTTTGTAGCAACATACTAACTTGCTTCAGAAATCTCGATTAACCTCTTTTTTTTAATCCAGACACACAGTTTTCTACTACACTGAATCAAGCAGCTAATAAGAAGTGGTAAAACATAAACATCCCTGCAGTGAATGAAAGGGCTGTAGGTTATGGCTATGGTTAAATGAACAAGTCACACCTCCAAAACAAGTTTTYGTTGATTTTTTTTGTTTTGTTTTTTCCTCTTAATTTAAAAGCAAAACAAGAAAAGAAATGATGATTAAAAGCACCTGATTTTATACTAACTTTCTGCAAACAATGAAGTTGGCCTGGAAGCTTGAATACAAACTACAGTAGCCAAAGCTGGTACTTAAACAAGGTCAGACTATACCCACCTTCATTATTCAGAATGTTTCAAAGACACAATGATAGTAAAGGTATGCTTATTTAATGAAATGAAAAATTTGACACAAATAGGTACCATCAGCTCTACAATGCTGTAAATTARTTTTCTTTATGTAAGAAAATGAGACAGTGTAAATTAGCTGTATTCAACTAGAAATGGACTTGCTCAGGAAAGGTGCTCATCATTGTTACAGTAGAGAAATAAAAGCATAGACTTGGCACTTACAAAGCAATGATAAACTCTTCGCAATTACATGAGAGTTTCATTGACCATATTTACATTGATAATGAAACCCCACTTTTATTAACAGGAAATTACAGATTGAGAAGGGGCTCTGGGCAGCTTCAAAAAGACTGGAAAGAAATAAATATTATAACAAGGAAAAAACATTTACTGTTCTTCTATGACAGTAACTTAAAATATCAAGTACCTCTTAGATTTGAGCTTATAAAGATTCTTCATCATTTGGCAAGAATTTTGGAGTAAATGTAGCAGATATATTTACAGCATCAGCATTAAATCAGAAAACTGAAAGTCCCAAATCATAAACCAAGTACACTTACAGAAAATGTTTTTTGCATTTTGTCTTGTTACAACCACACTACATGCTTAGAACTAATGGTATATAGCACTACATTCCCTTTTAAAACACCATTTTTTCACAGTCCTGGCAATATGGTACTAGTTTATCGCTAGGATTCCATTTAGTATTTCTTAGCACACAAGTTAAGTAACTCATTTACTGTTCTACCAGTAAATAAACACACACCAAATAAACTGGTGTTATTATCACATACCTTAAAACAGATTTTTTCCCCTAATTTGTGTGAACTTTGTTGCCCACAAAAATCAAGGAAACACTACTGATAGCTCCTAGCACAGCACTAGCAAGTATCATTGACTTTCTTATTAGCTAATAAAAAAAAAATCTCACTTTCAGTTGGTAATCTATCTATAACTGCTCTTAGTCAATGACCTAAAGTTGTCCAACTTTGGGGGGGAGCAGACTGGTGTTCACTAGTGATCTGAAATAGGTGTGCAGAAATACTGGAAAGACAAGGAAATAAGAAGGAAAAAACACAGACCAGTTCATTTCACACTTCCCAGTGTATTTTGCAAGCACAGGTAAATCCAATTATCCCAAAGTCCTTGGTATTCAAATATCTTTGTAATTTGTTTATAGTCAAAACTCAGCATGTAACTTCAAACTGAATATTTACAAGTCTCCAGTCTTTGAGATTTCAGATCTTCACAGCAGTATAGTAAAAATAAATTACCTGCCCTTTGTCCTGGAACTGACACATGGTTTTCAGGGAATGCTTCTCAGGATGCAGATGTCTCGTTAGGGTCAATCCCCCCAAGCTGCTGAAGTCCACATCAGGTGGGTATGTAGGTTTATTTTATAAGATCTCAAATTGCAAAGATGCTGCTTTACTATTAACAAAACTTGAGAGCAGAAAGAAATGGACTGTTCTATACAAGTCTTTAGAGTACAATTAGTGGCACTTTGGATGACCTTGGAAGAAAATGACTGCATAGAAGTTGTGATCAGTCAAGAGCAGGAGGAATCCACAGCACGGCTACAGGATCTTTGAAAGAACAMTCCTATTTTGAAGCCCCATTTTCCAATGAACACAGCATATAAACAACTTTTTTTGGAAAACAGAGAGAAGGGCACCACCCTGAGAGCTTTGTTAAAAGTGCTTTGAGTTTTAGCAAAGCTTCAGGAGTGCTTTTGAGCTCAACTGCTTTAGCCTCCTGCAGAAAGCCCACCCAACACAGCCCAAGACTCATTTCAGGAGTATTTATTTCTACCAAGCACAGTCATATACACATCAGTTTATTAATAATCTGCTAGCAATTTATTTTTCCACAGTCAGAGAGCCACAAGCAGCCTTCTAATATGCTTGGACTGTTACGGAAATCCATCAGGGCACCCCAAATTTGCAAAGATAACATTTATGCTTGAACAGTCTCCGCTGGAATAAGATTCCCTGTTGTATCCAGCTGCATACACTTACATGAGCAGGCAGAAACTGGGCACTCAGTATGGTCCCTAGGAAGAAATCAAAAAAAAAAAAAAACCACACACAGTAAAATAAGAATTTTGGAACCTGCCAGTTTAAGCCTGTGCAGCAGCACAATATTCTCAAACAAAACCCCAAAAGCACAGTAAGTTGTACTAAATGTACCTGAACCAGCTGAGCATATGCCCAGCATGTCCACCATGTCTGCAGTTGTGGCACCAGGTAAACCAGTTGTTGAACTGGGCTAACTTCTTGTCTTTGCTGAGATCCACCTTTTCATCAGACTTGGACCCTCCTGTATAGAGGCAAACACCCAACCACAACAAAWATATGCTTGTAAGTCACTACATGTCTTTGCAATTCAGTCTCAGTAACATTATTTAATTCAATTTGAAATTAGGACCACAGAATCACAGAATATTCAAGGTTGGAAGGGACCTCTACAGATCATCTAGTCCAACCTTCCCGCTCAAGCAGGCACACCTASAGCATGTGGCACAGGGCGGCATCCAGGCGGGTTTGGAAGACCTCCAGAGAAGGAGACTCCACAACCTCCCTGGGCAGCCTGTGCCAGGGCTCTGTCACCCTAACAGTAAAGAAGTTCCTCCTCACCTGGAGATGGACCTGTGTGAAAATATAACCTACAACTATATTGCTCAGCTATTGGTTCATGCTTAACTTGCTGATTAAAAAGCTTTTACTTACAGAATCTCTTTCAAGAGCGAGTTATAATTCAGCAAATGGWTTTGGCTGCAGTGATTTATTGACCTATTTTACTGCAAATGAAATGTGTTTCCAAAAAAAAAGTGTTCAAATAAACCAAAACAGCTCCCCAATATCTAAGTTATGAATTGGAACAATTACAATATAAAGSTCATGACACAGATTACTGAAAGAATGAAAAAATACAGATGTATGAATAGATGCAGCTGAACAGCTCGTCACGGCTGTAACAACACAGACATATAAATATGAATAAGATTGAAGTGTCGTATAACGCTGAGACCAAGACATTTAAAACCAAGAGCTTCTACTTAGGRTATTTCTTAGCTGTGATAGCATGCAGACATGTTTCAGACCTAGGGCCAGAAAGCTTTGAAACAATATTAAACTTATTCTCTCTCCCTTCAGTTAAGAACAATAGGTTACAGTCCAAGATTTTTGTCATCTCCGTACAATTCATCTTAAGAAAATACATTTCTTACAAGCTTGAGAGACACACAATACTGAACACTGCAACACTCGTATATTTGACAGAGCAGTGGGAACAGGCTGCCCAGGGAGGCTGTGGAGTCTCCTTCTCTGGAGGTCTTCCAAACCTGCCTGGATGCCGCCCTGTGCCACATGCTGTAGGTGTGCCTGCTTGAGCGGGAAGGTTGGACTAGATGATCTCTAGAGGTCCCTTCCAACCTTGAATATTCTGTGTGATTCTGTGAGTCTGTGTATGTCTACAACACAGACAATTAAGGAAAAAAAAAAAAGGTAACCACTTGACATGCATACTGCCTGACACTAAAAACAGACATAGGTTTTACATCAGAGTTGGATGGGAGGTAAAAAAGTTTTCAGTTATGGTCTCCCTCCTTCAAAACTAAGRGCATGAACATTTACAAGATGGAGTAGAAACACAAGGAAAAAGGTGGAGTGGAAGATCTTCCAGCAGAAACTGCTAATTTGGTGTCTGGATTGGCACTCCAGCCGAATATAACTTCAAAGCTCCGTGTCCTACCTGGGCAGCTGGAAACGGGTGTTCCCATGTTTATCAAGCAGAGAGCACAGCGAGGAAGGGGCTTTCGGCAACCAGGACAGCTGGTAACCTTAGACTTGGTKGGGGAACCGCTGACCCCGTACTGGCTAAAGCCTCGTCCCTGGTGAGGTATAGCTGAACAGCTGTAGGAAATGGACTTCCCACAGAAATTGCAGCTCACAAACACCTAAAGAGAACAGAAGCCAATTAATATTCTGGTGTTTTTTTTGTTGTTGTTGTTGGTTTGTTTTTCTCCCCTCTCTTCATTTTGAGTAAGGTTATTCCAGTCTTTAAATGAGGTGTTTTTTTTTCCCCAACATTGAACTCCACTACTGACTTTTTCAGATAGAGAAGGGCATTAACCAACAATTTCTGCTTCCCTGCCATTAGCTCCTTGCCATTTGGCTTTCTAGTATAATAGTTTGTATCCTACATCCTAGAATGGCCAGAACTGGCCAGCTGGAGAAATGCAAGTACCAAAAAGGCAAACACSCTGCTACAGCTTTCCTCCTCCATAGCCACTGAATTGATGCCAGGCACAAACAAACACTCGGATCTTCTGTTTCTCCCTGCAGGTCATAGGAGGGCCTAGTGCCGGCTACTCCAGAGAACGTGCTGGAAAGCTGAGGTTACTTAGTGAAGGTGATCCCAGCATCTCAGCTTACAGACATGCAGCTCAGGGAGGCAGGCTTACCCACAAAAGCACATAAAACTTACCACAAAAGCACATAAAACTACATATAACTAAGATTGGGAAAGGCATTATTTCAGATTATAGAAACTTGCATGTGAAATAATGAAACAAATTTATTTACTGTACAATTAAAGTCATTTTCTCAGTCCTCATTCAGTGACTCTTTATAGTCAGCTGAGCTGCTCTCAAGTCCCCAACACGAGGGCCTTCCTAAAATCTTTCCCTCCTCATCTTATATTGCAAGCYGTGCCTGGATACTGCATAAAACTTTTTAGGGGCCATTTGTGTTAGTCACAGCAAGAGGGAGGGCTACACTCAGCTCCTCCCGCATGGAGCGCTACAGCTGGAGCTCTCCTTCCACAGCTGGGAGGAAGGTATAAATTAAAAACCAGCCTTCCCAGGAAACCTGGGGGTCACTGAGGCTTGCAGTGCTCGTACGTGACGGACACGAGAGAACGACAGAGGGAGGTCAAGCCAGGGCATCTGAAAGCACTACCAGATGTTAAGCAGAAAATATTTGGACAAGAATTCAGTTTCTGGTTTAGCTGCTGTTCTGAACTGATAGCGAGAGAAGCTGATGTTCCATTGCTGTTTAGACTTAAATGCTTTGAAATAACTTGTTGAGAGTCAGTTCACTAATAGGAAGAGACATTTGAACTGGTTCATGGTTCAGTTTTCTGATTTCAGCACAATCCTCTATTCAGCTGGATAAATCTCTGATTTTGCTTTTCAACATGGTAGGAACAGAAAAGTTTCCCCAGGCAAAAAAAGTGCTAGAAAGTAGAAGTTTCTGAAGGAAAAGCTATTGCACAAGCAAAAGGTTGGGAGGAACCCAACTCACGAAAGCCAAGGCGCAACTAAACTTTTCTATAGAAGCATCAGGCCTCCCTCCTTTCTGGATTGACCACACTTCATAGATGAATCACATTTACCTGGGCTAAGGGTTTGGAGCTGGGATCCAGCTTACTCCTATGTATATCAAATTCTGCACGTTTATGCCAAAATCTCCAAGCATCCAAGAGATTCCTGTAGTTCTCAATCCAATACTGAACCCTCTCATCCTTGAGGACATCTGATGGAGAACCCTGAAGCAGGTGGGAAAAAGTGCCAGACACACTAAACACAAAACAAATCACTCACTGTTGAAAAAGGTTTTACATGTCATATGGCAAAGTGTAATTATTGGGAAAAAAATAATTTTTCTGTTGAACTAAGGTTTTAGCAAACTTAAACTATATTTTCTAAGTCTGCCTCTCAAGTTGAAAACACTTCTGCAGAACTCTTCTCTGTCAGATCAAGGATTATAAAATTCTATCACAYATTAGAGCACATATATATGTATATCATTATCACTAGAGCATGTTCTGAACCTACCAGGAAACACACCAATGATAAACAGGAGAGCGGATATTCTCAGCACAGCTAGTGAAGAGCATCTTCCCCTTTTTGCTTTTTCCCCCCTACTATCTCAAGATGATCTAACCAGAAAGTGAAGAGCTGTATTTGCAGCTTCAAATAGCACCACCAACCAGATATGACACCGCCACAATACATTTTCTACAATACTTTTTTTTACAGCTATAGAGTGTCTAGTTTCCTTAAATAAAGGTTTATTTTTTGAGGCACACTAACCTGCAGCATGCAATAGCTTGCTGTCTGGACATCTCCAGTTCTGTCAACATAACTTTCCATCAAGTCCACTCCATCTTTAGTCAGTCCTGTTAGCAGTATTCCCTCCAAATTCCCAGCCTCTTTCATTTCATTTGTCAGCTTTTCAATAAACCTGTTGAGCTACATTAAAAAAAAAAAAAAAACACCAAACAAAAAAACACACCACACACCTTAACTTTTGCCTTCGGCTCACCTACAATTCATTTATGCTGGCATGCAACAAAATTGTCAATGATTTGAAGAAGAACCTCTTTTGCTAACTAAATATTCTATGTGCTGAACGTTACACAGAAAAATGAATATGGACTCACTATACTACAACAGTGCAAATCTTGATCTAAATTCTTTAAGACTCCTGGTATGAGTGGAAAGAAGGAGATCACCTTACTCTTTAGATACTTCAATGACTTTAAGAGGAAATGCTCAAACCTGAATTAAAGAGACAGTAAAAACCTAGAAATAAAAAATAAGTTTCATCAAGCACGGTTCAAAATCAAGACTAAACTGTGTTCAGCAATTAAATGCAAGCCACATGAGAAAGCACAGCGAAGAAACAAGCTGTTCCAAACTGTGACTCAGTTTTAGAGGTTTCTCTTCCTGGGGCCTGGCCTCTTCACCATCATAGGACCTAAGTATATGACATATGAGCTCTGCATGGTATGTGGCAGAATCAAAAGTAAATTATTGCAAAATTTATAGCACCCCTGCACAATCTAATACCTCGCAGAATGAACAATACTGAATGTTTATCAAATGTACCAAGTTAAGATAACTAACAATTAAATAAGTACAAATAATGCCAGTAAGACAGAGTTAATACAGCATAATTTAATAAACTATCGTGCTAAGAGGTTTCTCTTCTATTCTTTCTTTAAATTATGACCAAAGTGAAACTAGCTAAAACTAGAGATCAGGTTGCACTGTAGTTTATTTCCCATTGTGAAGAGGAGCAGGGATCACCACAGATTCAGGGCCTCCCCTGCCGGGTTTCCCCAGCCTGTGGGTAAAGGCCCCGTTTCCGAGCAGGCCGTGCYGCCGCTGCCGCCTCACCTGAGCGTCGCTGAGGAACTTGCAGGCGAAGGCCACTCTGTCCCGCACAGCCACGTTGTTTTCGTACTGGGGAGAAAAGATGGGAACGCCACCATCACATGCAGCATTGCAACTTGGAAACACCGCAAAATTCAGAACCTGGGGCTTACGGTACAGCTATACACTACATACACTACTGTACATCACTACCGTGATGATTTGCAAAGAAAGTATCATACATTAGGAATGTTAAGGCTAAGTTCCAGCTGATTTATATAATATATATGCACATAAAGGAAAAGTCTCTCTCTCTCTCCATACATACATACACACACACACACATTATATATAATAAAAATATTTTTAAATGTGTTTTGCTTTTCCATGGCAATTTTTTGAAGTTTCACTTCAAAAGATGAGAAACTATCCTGTTTACCTATTATTTCAACAAAATAAAAATATTTTCACAATACGATAAAATTCTGTGAAACGATAGCTTAGAGTTCTGTCAACCTCACTGTACACTGTTTCCTCCCTCCTGCCCTTCCCATTATCAATTTCTCTCCYGTTACCAAGTAATTAAACAGAAGAAGAAAATGCTCTTCTCATGGTTTAGGAGTTCCATGTTGAATTTTAATTGATTTACTATGTATGAAAATAAATATCTTTTATAGTTCCTCTAAAAAAGGTACAATTCATATTTTGGCTCCTTGCACATCTTTTTATTTAATTCAACATTCACTCATATTTTCACTAATATTTTTCTCATGTTTAGGGAAAAAAAAAAGCCAGACCAGGAGAAAATAATACATTTTAATCTGATTTTATGGATTTCATATCCACAAAAATTATTTAATCCATAAATAATTTTTTTAAAGATCTGATTTTATGAATTTCATGCATAGCATTTCCAAAAGATAAGTACTGGTGTGCAAACAATATTTAAAAGAATTTTAACATAACAGAAGTGTACTTACCAAAACACCATCATAGGAACCCGACTCACTTGTCAGAAAGGCAAACATGGCACACAAGTAGGGATTGTTCAGCTGCAGTCTTAGACTGCTGCACATTTCTCTCCAAAGCGAGTTCTTCTCATCTGTGTAGCCTGACAGGGCCATTGCTACTACATTAAGATTCAGATCACCTGAATTACCAAAAAACAATAAATGAAATAATATGCAAGTTTTGGACTTTAAAAGCCATTTAAAATAACTGAAACATTCACAAATGTACCTGCCCACCTATAATTATCTTTTGTTGTGGTGCTAAGACAGGCTTTTATAAGAGAACTCAGATGCAAGTCACAAACACAGAAGTAATACTGGCAAGAAAAACACAACAAAAAACACTTTCAGTTGCTGACTCTAAAAGTATGAGCTTCTCCTTCATACAGTGTAACTCTGCTCAAATATTTCTCCAAAACAAATATTTTCTGCAAATCAAATCCTGAATATTTCAGTTATTCCAGTCGCAGTAAAGGCAGAAAGCAGCACCTGCCTGAACAGATAACACAGGACATCTAACTCAACGGTGTGTCATTAAAAGAATGAGGAAAAGAAAAAATCCCATTAGTCTCGAGTCCACACTCAAGGGGTACATTGGGGTATGTACCAGTAGGATATTCTACAAACTGTTTTAACTAGAAAGTACAGCATGCAATAGCCTCATTTTAAAAGCATAATAAAGAAAGGAGTCAAAGATGAACATTCACCAAATCCTCAGGCTTCAACTCAACCACAGCCAAACTCATGCTGGTGTCTAAGACTGAAGGTGCCCTTTTCACACTGCCTTATATATTTTTCTTTACAGAGAAGTCAACCACAATGACGGATAACTCCAAATGAAAATGTACTAGTCACCATACGCACCTTTTCCTGAGGAAGCACCTTTATTCAGGATTTGTATTGCTCGTCGTATGTCCAAGTTGAAAAGTGCTACAGCAGCAGCACGTTCCCAGTCTCCTTCTTGTTCCAATGAATTCAAAAATGGTTCCACATCCAGGTCTGTTCCCTTCTTAATCCACCCACAGAGCTGCAAAGCCAAGGATCTCTCCTCAGAGAGATACTGAATAATATCTGCCTGTCTATCAGATCCACTTCTGCTCTGCCTGAGGTTCTCTGTTGTTCCTAAAAAGGGGAAATAACTTAAATCATGATTTAAATAAATATTTTAAATTCTAACACTTTGATTTCAATACTATAATACAGCACAAATCTGAGCATCGCATTTCACTACCTGCACAATTCCTTATCCTACTGGTAAGGAACACTTGTACTTTTTAGCAGTATTTTGATCTGCTAAAAATAATGCATCTAAACACACGTATTTCCCACTAAGTATTTTTCTCTAAACCCTAAGATTTTGGATGTTCCTGTTAAAAAAAAGATACAAGTGATCAGCATGTTTAATTTGAAAATATGTAATACTCAGTCCGGCAGGTGCTACACTGGGTCTCATATTCTCGGCAGGCATGAACAGGGTAGGAGTTTTACCAGCACTAAAAGAGTTATTTTTTACCAGCACTAAAAGAGTTATTTTTTACTTCAAGGAGTATAAGTATTAACAAAACATACAATGAATTGAGGAGAAAAAAATCATATAATAGGTTAAACTAATAATTATATCATTGAGCATGAGAGGCATAACATGATGCAGAGGGTCTAACTACAACTTTGAAATAATGTATTTAAACAGTTGCATAAATGCATTCATTACATTAGCAGTAACTACAGGAAAGACAGCTTTCTAGAACTACACCCTTTTGTAGAACTTAGGAACAAAAGAACTTTGTAAAACAAACTGTTATGGGAGAAATCAGCATTTTAGTGTCTGAAAATGGCAACATAAATGTCCGAAAAATGGCAACAGACAGCCACTGAATAAAATTCAGTTATATATATATATAAAATATTTATATATATATATATAAATATAAAATCACAAGCAAAAATACTTTGTTTCTATATTTTTATACAGCCCCTTTTAATCATTCTTGCAAATGAACCCACAAGCACCATCACTATGTAAATATGCTATAATGTATTAAAGTTGGAACATTCTTACCCAGAGATGACTTCACAATAGATTTAATGCCAGCATAAACTAAGGGACCTTTGTTTCCTGTAAGTTTTTGATCCATATCTTCAGTATACTGCTTCATAAGTATTTCCATGTATAGGAAGCTTAAATTTTCCCAAGCATTTGGAAAACATTTTTTTAAACTAAAACGTCAGGCTACTAACATACACAAAGTATTTACAGGATGTCGCATTATTTAAGACTTCATAAAATCGGTTTATATAAAGGTTTATGTAAAGGCACATTATTTCTTTAGAAGTAACACCACCAAGTTACACAGCAAGACAAAGGATATAATGCAGAGTGTACCAAAGTGATTTCAGCTGAGGATCCTCATTTCCAGCTAGCAGGTGGTTTCTCCACACCTGTTCAGTATCGAGACCGTACCTTGACAGAGCTCTGAGACGCATTTTGGTAGCGATGTCCTTTTCCAAGGAACTGGCCTTTCCTTCTTCCGTGCATTCATACAGGTGCCGCCCGCAAGCCCACATTAAAGAGGTCACCGGGCTCCACGCGAGAGAAATCCTCTCGAAAACGGTGAAGTCGGACATGGTCCTGTTGGGAGTCACCACCACCATGCGATTCTGACTCGTGGGATGCCAGGCAAAGGAAGCAATGTAGTTCTCACAAGGCTGGACACTCCTTTCAATTATGGTGGGCTCCGTTTCATCCCCAATGGGCGTAGGGGTATGCTGCATGTCGTACAACCTGATGATGTTGCTGTCCCTCGTTAAAGTAGCCAGCAGCCCAGTTCTTGTGGGACACCAGGCTACTTTTGTTAGAGGTTTTGGTTGCTCTGTCAAGGTCAACACAGGCTTCTCAAACTTTCTTAAATCCCATATGGCAACCTGGCCTTCATAAAAGGAAGCCACGCGATCATGGAAATAGGGATCGACAGTCACCCCCTGGACAGCCTTGGTGTTCACAAATATTTTTTGGCTCGTGTTCCTCAGGTCAAAGATAGCAAGATTTCGGTGCATCCCAGCTAGCAGAAGCTTCTGATCCCGCGGCAGCCAACAGAGCGAGAGACAGGCATCGTTCTGCCCCAGCTCGTACAGCGGCTTGGTCACCACGAGGCCGCCCTCGGGGTCTGCTGCCGACAGCCTCACCTTCTCCGTGGTGACCGCGGCCTCGGGGGCGTATTTGCTGCTGATGTCCCAGATGAGCACGGAGAAGTCGGCGCGGTGCTTATCCAGCCCAGCTGCCAGCCAGTTGCTGTCCAGGGGGTTCCACGCCAGGGTGTTGCACTGCCGCGCGTGCTTGGGGACAAACTCCTTGCCTATCAAATCCTTCGACTTGGAGTTGTGGTCCTGGCCGAGGCTCGTAAGCACCACGCGCCCGTTGGCCTGGCCCACGGCGAGGAGACACTCGGGGTCGTACTTGGGGTACCAAGCCACGCATTTCATGTACGGCGTGTCTGAGTTGATGGAGAGCAGCGTGGCGGCCGTCTCCTCCGAGAGGCGCAGCGAGCCCGCCTTCGGCTCCGGGCTCGCCGCCGACTCGATGTGGTAGAGACTCAGCTCCGAGTCACACACRACGAAACGGTCGACGTGGTGCGGGGCCCAAAGAATGTCGGGTTTGGAGCCGCTCATAGTTGGGGCGCGTTCACGAGCGGCTTAGAGCTCTTGGGGAAGGACACGGGGGACGTCCACGCACATGGGAACTGYAGGGAAAATGATTGGTAGCGATATTAGGGAAAGTGATCTCCTTTCTAACCGAAGATCACAACTGAATAAAGAACAGCACAGATGTGAACTATTTTTAACACAGAGGTTTAACAAACCTTAAACGCTTCCCACGTCACATCGTTGTCTCCACAGCACGTGTGGCTCTCGCTGGAACACAGGCTGGAACGCGCCTCGCGAGACGGGCACCAACGGGGCCATCTACAAAACAACAACGATGACGGGATTTGCTGTTTACACAACCCACGTGGGTCCTGCTTCCTTATTGTACTAGCAAGAAAGGACCAACCGAAATGGATGGGGCAGGATACTTGGGTAAACTGCTGGTAAGGGGCCACACATTGGCAGCGTTGTGCCTCATTTAAGTGCACCGGGTGTCAGGAATCACAGCCTGCCTGTGCTCCGTGGAGCCCTTCACACAGCCGAGGACAGGCCGCCTCTCCACGACTCGGACAGAAACGTAACCCGGCTCGTTCCCTCGCTCCCACCTCTGCTTCCCGCCCCGCTGGTTCCCGCTGCCGGGACGCGCTGCGGGCGCCCCCGTACAAACAAGGCCCCCAGCACCTCCCCCAGCACCCCAGAACCTCCCCTAACGCGGGGGGAGGCGAAAGACATTCCGTAAACAGGGAAAGCAGAAAACCGCTCGGCTCCTTCCGAGCGGCCCGCCCGGGCCTCTGCCCGCTCCGCTCCCCGCCCGCCCCGAGCGCGGCCGCCGCCGCCGCTCACCCGCCCGCGGGGCCCGCAAGGCCGAGGCCACAGCCGCTCTGCGCGGCCACGGGGGAAGAAGAACTCAGGACACTTCCGGTGCGACAAGCCAGAGAGGACGACGCTCAGCAACGGCTTCCGGCTTGCGGCACTCACTGCCCCTTTCGGGCCGCGGCACCGCCCTCTCCTCCCATTGGCCTCGAGGAAGCCCCGCCCCCAAATGCTGTGGGAGGAGCCTCCCGATGGGTGGGGCGGAACGGGGAGGGGCTCGCGTGTGTGGGCGGGGCGTGCGGGGGCGTGCGGGGGGCGGGGACTCGCGCGTGTGGGCGGGGCGTGCGGGGGGCGGGGCGGCGCGCCAGCAGGACTTGGTGTTGGTGGGGAGCGCTGCGAGTTGATGGCGGCTCCCTGCCCCAAGAACGTGGTCCTGAGCAGCAGCAGCAGCTAATTACTGCTGCTCTTTGTTTTGCGGAAAGAGGTGATTTAGTGGGACAAAGGGGAAGATACACGGCTAGAATTGTGCCTGCGAGTTATCTAAATCTCAGCACACAAGTTTATTTGATGTTGACTGATGCATCTCCGCAGCTTTTTATTCTGTTACAGGTGATACATGTCTTGGTGATGCAATATTCATCTTGCMCAGCTCAGAAAATGTAGGAGTTGTTGGAAGCACAGAGAAATTKTTTACAACATACATGACAACAATTAATTGATGAAACAAGTTAAATCTGGGAAATACAATGTCAAGCCAGCAAGTATGCAGTTCAGSAGCACAGTCACCATTGATCACCCCATTACAGCTTGGAAGAACGTGCAGAATTTYAAAGACAAAATCAAGACATTAGGATTTGGGTACAAGGACTGGAAATAAGGGAAGATTAGAGTGCTAAAGCTCCAAATGGGAACAAAGCAAATATAAACAGGTTGCTACTGTCAAAGCAGCTCACCTGTCGTGCAGCCTTGCTCGCTTATGAGGGAATTTGGATGAGACAGCACTGTCAGGTTGGCCACAGGTTGAATGAATTATTCTGGTGATTGTCAGGCTGTAAATGAAGCATCCTTTGCCTGCATGTTTATCAGGGCAGCAGTCCTATGACTTAAACCCTTGCTTTTCCTGATTTCCAGGTGAAGGCTCTAGGTATTCTATAACTCTAGATATTCTTTTACTGATGTATCTCGGATCAGCTGGTGCTTTATAATTCACATAGGATGGAAGAGCATTGTAGGGGCTTCTTAGGAAACCTCACCTGAATCTTCATTATCCTCATGGTTATTTAGTGAGTTGTGGGGGTTTAAAGAGCAGCTCCAAGTGTGAGATGGGTGCCCACTGGCCAACATTGTGGAGCTGCTTGTCTCTGCCCTTGAAAAGAAATTACAGCTAACAACACAGGCTCATATTTTACCAGAATGAGTATCCTCAACAATTGATGGACATTATACTAAAAGGAAGGAAAAGCTTTATGAGACTGAAGATAATTTGTGAACATGCAAAAGCAGGGAACATTACAGTGAAAACAAAGCATAAAATGTGTACATATATATATGTGTATTATATATAAAAATATATATATTCTTGATAATGATAGAAAATAATAGTCACTTTAAAGAAGGAAAAAGGGCGTTCATTTCTCACATAGCATATCCAAGACCAGATACAATTTTATAAGAGAGTAATGCATATTTTTATACTGTTCCTTGATGTTTTGCAGGGTGAGGAAGGMGAACATTGAGAAGGTGGAGGTGTGCATGTTTCCTTCTTAAGAGTAAGATGTGTTTTTTCAATTTTACACAGATGTTTCATACCACTTGTTACACTATTTTTTTTTTTTTTGAAAAAAGACATTTGTGTTTAGAACAGCTGTTTTTCATGTGCCGTGTAGCTTATGTAGCTCAAACCCTCCCTTGACTTGGAACAGTAGTGGCAATAGGAAAGTTTGAAGTAACCTTGTGGGCTCTTTTCTTGTGACACAGAACCATAAGGAGAACTTTTTTTCAGGAAACAAGGAGGGCCAACCACTTCCCATGGAACGGGGAGTTGGGAGCTGAGGGCGACAATCCATCTGGGAAGATGAGCGCTTGTCCCTCAGTCCCTTGGCAGTGGGACAGGCCTGAGTGAGGCAGCTGGGCTCAGCCCAGAGTCCCACCACCAGGCATGTTCCTAGCGATGAGGCGGCTCCGAGGTCAAGCCAGGAAGAGTGGTCAGGGCTGGAATCAGGTCTGGTGACAGTAACCAGGGTCAAGCAAAGCACCTGGGGTCAAGCAGGGACATCAGCCCTTATCAGCTTGAGGTCAGGGACATCATGGCTAGACATAGGCAGAGCTTCAAGCAGCTCCTGYGGGCTGGTGTGAGTAGTAGCCCATGCTCATCTTCCCACCACACCAACTGGGAGCCTCTCTTCCTCACCAGGGGGAAGGAGCTTCAGCTGAGCTGAGCCTGAGCCTGGGCAAACAGAGCTCCAGGAGTGGGTGGAACTGCTCTCAGAGCCCTCACAGAATTAAAGATTGCATCATTATGCTTTCCATGCATACGGAATGCTAACATTCCCTCAGTTTGAACTCTTGGGAGAGCTAGAGCCATAGAGATTGACTGTGCTCTGAACACATATAATCTGATTTAATAATTGAACGAAAGTAGGTTACATTTCTCAGAAAAGCAATGGTTATATTTTCTGGTAAAACACAGATTTGCACAGCAGCTACTTTTATCATGAAAACCGTATCACCAAACCTGCAAAGACAAATTGATGTTCTTTGAGATAAATTTGTTTCATTAAGATTAATCAGAATGTTTAAGTAGATTTTCCTTACCAGTTAAAATGATTCTTTGTTTTTTTTTTTCTTTTTTTAATACGGACTTTCTGGTTAAAAGGAGAAAAGATATGATCATAAAAATGCTAAGGAAAGTCATATCATAGCAGTAATTATTTGAGTCTTTATAGTAATAAGGATTTTCATTTACAGACATTAGTCCCTTTCTGTAACCAATTTTGTGGGATTTCATTTCCAGGAAGACACTGTTAAATATTTTGTTGAAGCAGTTTTTGTGTACATGCTGTGGAAACAGCCTAACAACCTWCATTCAAACCAAGACCACAAATACCGTGGTATTTATGCTTGTTATGCTTGTTGCATAAAGCTGGAAGGAGGAATCATTCAAAGAGAGCCTCAAAAATGAKGCTGCACATTTTGTTTTATATTACAACAGATGTTATTTCTTAACTTTGTAGGTGTTGTTATTTTGTGCTTCTCCAGGAGAAAAAGAAAAAAGTTACACGACTTAAGCACAAGGAATTATCTTGAGTGCTAAACTAAATCTTCCCTGCAAATGAAAATATTGAGTTGAAAGAACATTTTAAAACTTCTTTACAATCTTTTTTTCTCTGCTAACATAAACAAGAACTCTAAGTTCTAGTTTCTTTTTCCAACCTACCATTAGAGTTTGTCCAAAATGAGTCTCTTGTTGCAAGCTTTTGCACTCTTGTAKCTGATTTTAAATCAGAACTCTTTCTCCTGTGTACAGCCAGAGCTTGAATGGTTTGCAGACACAGATATTGCAAATAATTTTCTTTGCCTCAGTAGCTAAAGAGCCTAGACACTTTTTTCCCAGGAGACAACAGAGGAATCCCACATGAATTGTGTTGATGTGCATGTCTTTCACCCTTGGTTCTGTACAGAGCTTGGAGAGACCAGGCTCTTATTTAGGCTTTCCATGTGCCTCATGTTAAAGGGATGAACCTAGGCCTCTGAACATGAGAGATTCTTTGCTTTCACTTCCTGTGTTGGGACTCATGGAAAATTCTTCTCAACTCCAGGGCTGGAGGATAGCCAGCACAAATGGAGCCTTCTGGAAGTCTGGCTGCTAGAATCTAAGTGTTTTATGGCAGTGCAAATTGCCTTTTTCAAAGGCTTACAATTTGGCCAAATTTCAGTATCAGAGCTACAACAGGTTCCTTTCTTCCTCCTCCCCTAAGTGCTATACTTTCCAAAGCATATACTATTGATCCCAAAAAGTACAGAAACAGACTTGTTAAATAATCCTAAAAAAAAAAAGTTCTTCATTAGTCTCATTTTTGGAAATGAATGAGTGAATTATTCTGGCTAAAACTTAGACAGAAAGACATCTGGCATGTATAGTTTCAGTTTACATCTTTGTAGTTTCATAAAGCTATAAACAACCAAAAAAAGAGTCTTAAAAATGCTGTATTTTCARCCTTAATAAAATGGAGTGCTATCCAGCCTGCCAGTAATTATATATAAATGTTGTGTACACAGTGTCTAATGCATCTGTTGCTTTGTCTCTGTTTTTGAATGTGACCTGTGAAGTGAATTACAAGTGGATATGGAATTTAATCCAAGGCCTAAAGATGCCAAACAGGAGAATTTTTCGGACTTTGTAGACGTCAGTATCACGCTTGGGGGAAGACCATTTGAGACCTTATTATTCAAAAACGTAGGGTAAACTCAAAATGGCCAGGATGATGCTTCTTAAAAAATATACAAAATACTGAAAAATCATGTTCTATCTATTCATGTTCATTGTTCAATGATTGTCATTGCTCAAGTTTGTCTTGTGAATCATAAATGAATTCTATCTATACAATTTCTGAATATTATTCCTTACATTATATATTGTCAAAGACACCATACAAGTGTTTGTATGTTRTAAATACCTTGAGAGCAATCATTAAACAATATTGCTTCAATAAAGAGCTCAAAGCAAGCGATTAATCCTCTCAAAAGAAAGAAAAAGTAGTCTGTGATGTGGTAACATTTGGAAAGCATAGGAAACTGTGCATCTCCTGGGGCTTGTAACATCTCCTAAGGGACTAGGTAATTATAGAAAAAAAATTGAAACATTGCTCAAGAGAGAAGTAAGTCTTAAATAGGCTTACGAGAAGCTGCTAGGAACCTAAGTGAAATGCCTTATCAGATAAAAKAAAATTTTTCAGAATTCAAGATTATTCAAAATATTTTGAAGGTCTTCTGAATATTAATAAAGTAACCAAGAAAACTTCACATAGAATATATGTGGTGGAATTATAAAAGCTTTGTCTGTTAGTTACCCTGTAAGAGATAATGGTGAAAGAAGTATTTGACATCTACAAAGTGTCAGCAGCGATAATGAAATAAACAGGGCTATCAAAGACTGTTACACAAGGATGATGGTTTAGAATATTTCAAAGCAGAATATTGGCATGTTATTTAAAATGTTATTTTTTACTAAACTTGAATTACTGCTTACTTAATTTTATTTAATTTTATGAATGTAACCAAAATATTAATAATGTTAATTGATTAATTATTTTATGTCTTTCTACTCTTTTTTTATTCAGAGGGACTGGAAGGCAAATGTGGTCCAAAACGATTTCAGAGACCTCAGGTAAGCGAAAAGCAAGCTGTCAAACCATAGAAATACTCAGGCATAGTTTTCTGAGAGACAAACTGGTTTTGTTGCTAACTGGTGTATGTTTGGGGGTAAAAGGATTCATCATGATAATTCCAATAATTTGCTGCACWCCTGACACAGGGCACAGAGCCGTGTTTGTGCAGTCACTTGTCCACAAGGTCCCTCCATCCTTTTTTTCCTTTCACTAAATACCTGCCAATTCATTTCCTCTACTACGGGCAAATTCCACAGTATTCCAGAATGACTTAAAAGTGCTCCCCTGACAGCTGAAGAAACTGAATCTGATCAAGCAGTCTGAAAGTTGACTGCTATACACTGACAAACACAGAAAAATTCCTACCCACCAAAATGAAAGGGCCCTTTGGTAGCATTTCCCCATCACACTTTTTTTTCATTAACTGTTGTAGATGGCAGGTCCCTGATTCTTTCAGTCTCTGCATTTGCTTTAAGAGGTTCCAGCTGATTTTATTTAATACCGGTATTATAAAGTAAAATACTAGTTTTATAAAATACTGGTTGTATTTATCCTTYTTGGTACTTGCTAGCTGGACACTTTGTCAATGAGTTTTGGACCATCCGGTCCAACTCTTAGTTGTAAAGAACATGTGGTGCCTTTTGCTCAGTGGGGATGATATTACTGGCATCATTGTTTATCCATGTGATAGGAGAGAGGAGCTGGATCACCATAAATGGTGGTGATAGTGGGGAATTTTTCAGAGGCAAAACTCRTTAGGTTTTGTTAACTCAGCTGTTGAAAGAACAGTTTGTTTGTTGAGTATTCTGGGAGGGTTTAAAGTACAGATTCAACAGCTGTGGCCAAAATGACACTAATAATTCAGAAGACACTTCAGAATGACACTTCCAATCCAGAGCTCAGAGTTACTGGTCCTGTTGGTGCTACTTACTGTCACTATTTCTAATAAGGAATGATAGAGAATATGAAAGCCTTCTTTTTCTTTTAGCAGTGCATCTGTTGCTTAGTATAGTATACAGCTGGTTTGTAATAATCAAAGCTTGTTTTGATTATTAAACTCATAAATTAAACTCATATGCACACCTCGTATAATAAGCCCTTAAATTGAAATATTGGTATATAAATCCATATATTGATCTATATTTTAAAAAGCCATATATAAAGCCATATATTATTTATTTGTAGATAGCTATTTCTGTTAGGCATATCATCCATGTCTTAAGATACTTGTATATGCTCTTAATTTTTATAATAAAAAATATATGCAAAGATTAGTGTTGACTCAGCTGGAATTTCATATACCAGCTCTGTATATGTGCCCTTTTTGTTCTGAAATGTCAGAGAAGTGTCAGGCTGAGGTGTTCTAATGATTCCAAAATACCTTTARCCCTTCAAGTGCTGATGAAAGAAAGAGAATTAGGGGAAAGACTTCTAGCATGCTCCAAAACAACATACTCTGCRGCCAAATTCTTCAGTTCCTGTAGCATCGTGCCTTCTGTTCTTTCATTGCTCTCCCAACATACTTTTCAGTCCGTGTAAACTAAAAATCTTTTTTTTTTAAATATGTATGGCTTCAAGCAGTGTAAATGGCTTCATATGAAGCCAATTTATATGGCTTCAACAGTGTAAATGCAGATATTATAAGTACCRATTGCAAAACGCCTTTCCCAAATTTTAACAGTTCTGCTGAGAATTTATCTAACTGTTGGAGCAAATATTATGTAGTTTAGTGACCTATGCCTAAAACAACAAAAAGAGCAAATGACCTCTCACTTGCTCAGTTAATAAATTGACTTTCAATTTAATGACATACAATCTAAGCCCACAAGATGGAGCCCCAGGCTCTTTGGAGCGAAGACAAAATGACAGGTAATGTGGCAGCAGGAACAGTTACTCATCAGCAAAATGCGTTTCTGCAATTCAACATGAATTCTGTGATATAATTAGGCTCTGTAGCTTGGGTTAAAACGGAAGGTGGGCACTAAGGAAGCTGGCTCTCACTGTCAGAGCCRCCTGGCACTAAAGCAGCCACCAAAGCCCATCCAGGGTTGATAGAGCTGAGGCAGACAGAGGGAGCACAACTGGCCTGAAGAACCTTGCTTAGACAGTGTGCTCATGTTCACATTGCTTGTACATGAATTATGTATACAYTGTAACTCTCTTATCTGTCTTTCAGGACGGCTTATGTTTTTGATCTGAAGGAGGAGAGCTGTTTCTTCAGGGAAAGGCTGTTAGAAGGGTTGTTTGCTTTTTCTATATGTGTGTGTATGTTTAAATAGCGCACTTGAACTGAAATATTTTAATAGTAATAAGTTAGATAAWTGTATAATAACAGCTGAAGGCACGATTCATGTTTCTGGTCCCTCTGCGATAAAGCACAGGGTACTCAGCAGTTTTATTTGCCTTCCACAGAGGCCAAACAGAAAGGATGTTTGATTTCAGACCGTGTTGGCATCCTATGTATGTGTGGGTGTGAGACTTGAGCCTAAAGAAAAAATTAACTGTTTGTCAGTACAATTACTCCTTCAGTGTAGGCCATTGGATATTTTTCTTAAAAAAAAAAAAAAAAAAAAAAAAAAAAAAAAAAGCAATTTGAGAAACTGCACAATGTTTCACTGAACCTCCCAATTCAGCAAAAAAAAAAAAAAGCAATTTGAGAAACTGCACAATGTTTCACTGAACCTCCCAATTCAGCTTTTAGTGCCTGTGTTTCCTCTCCTGTTACTGTTGTGACCTATACTCAGAAATCATGGATATTTCAGTCTATCTGCTCACTTCTCCWGTTTGTCAGACTTTGTCTTTCAGCTTCCCTTAGGTGAGCATTAAGCATATTTTCAACCAGAGCCATTGACACAAGAGAGAGATGACGTTTCATCTAAGAGCTGAGCAGACACAAAAAGATAAATGTTAYAGCACTTCCCATAACTCAATCATTATTAGCAAGATTGCTCGTGAGGTGCAAAGACACAGGGCAAGTGGCCTGAGTTCACCAGTCCGGGGACTTTCAGCCTTTTCACACTAACAATACCACTGGAGCTTGTTGTAAAGAGTCAGGTTTAGATGTTAGACTAGAGCAAAACAAATTATCTTTTCCATCCTCTCCTTTTCCTATGTGACCAAACTGAGTTAACCATCACCAACCAGTATCATAACATCTCTAACATGTGTCTAAGAAGGCATCCAATTGCTGAGTGTGTTTCCAAAGCATACGTTCTRTTCAAAGCACTTGACTGTTTAATTCCCACATGCGTAGAATAGGCAACATTTAGATCACTTATGGAGACTTGAACGTCTGTATATTTGATCTGACTGACCAGTTGTGAGTTTCTTGCTTTTTTTTTCTGAATTTTCTGGGTTTGCATCTGTAAAGTAGCTAAGGAATTTTGTTGGCCTTTAAAAGGCTGCTGTGGGAAATGGCTTTTGGCTCTGAATGTTGTGCACTCAGKTTATTCATACTGCCATTCAAGCAAACAGGTTGTTTGAATAACTACTGTTTGACCTGTTCTTTGAATTTGTAATATCTTTTTTTCCCAACTTTATTATATTTTTGTTCATATTGCATAGCTTCAAGTTTGACAATGTAACTTGGTTCTGTATGAAAAGTGATTTATTTTGTTTAAATTAATGGCTGTTCTTTATTCTTGTACTGTGAAATAGTCACTTTCTTTCATGATTGTATTGATCTGCATCATACTCACATTCCGTTTGTCTTTCCATGCTGTAGAATCCTAATCTACGTCATCTATCTTCATACAGAAGCTGTCCCATGCCTTTCTCACCTCTCTCTGTTCATTTTTATTTCTTCTTTATTACTTTTGAGTTGCAGTAACTAGAATAGCAGGCACTATTAAAGGAGAATAGGTAGAGCACCAAAGAAAGAAAACTAAGGTGTATTTTTTTCCAGTAGAGGAGGTGATTTAACAAGAATGCAGAAATAAAAGGTTTTTCTTGCATACTCAAAATTAAATAGTTATGTAAATGGGTTTTAGCATTAAACCTGTGTCATAAACCAGAGTTTAGTGTGACCATGAATGCATGTAGACAGGTTACCAGAACACCACTCCAAGCTAGAGGAACTGACCTAAGATTGCATTTGATTCTGAGTAACTAAACAGCTTAACTAAACAGCTCACAAAGAACAATAAATAATGGTAAGACTGAGCTGTAAATCTTGAGACATGTTCATCAGATTTGACCTCTAAGTGAATTTGAAGTTACAGAACTGTTTACTGGCAATGCTCAAGAAAAAGCAAAGCCCTGCACTCTATAGCTACAATTGTGTTACGTAACCATCAAGGTCCTTATTTTGCTTCCAAATGGCTGTAAATAGTGAAGAAGAGCTGAGGCCATTTCCACAGACCAGTCACACAAAACATATAGTTTTCTGGCCAGATTTCCTGGACAGAGAAATAAAACTCCCATTACTGTCAGCAGATTGGATGTCTGTGTGAACTCTCACGTTATATGTGTGCTGGGCCAGTGAGAGAGACTGTTATGTCTAAAAATCTTAAATGATAACATTTTCTGATCCCTGTCAAATGTCATATTTGCAAGTCCAAAAGGAGAGGGAAACCTTGGAAAGCAGCTGAAAGCCCACCAAGTCAGTCCTGTTTTGGCTCATAGTACAGATAAACCTTGACTACTGCAGGGGAAAGCATTCCTCAATAACTGATGGTCCATGTCTGGAGAGACAGGATATTTAACAAGCCTTGACTGAAGCACATGTAAGGGTAAGAATAAGTATGTAAACAATATATGTCATAAGTTTTAATGTAATATTTTTAAAAATTGCCTCCTTTCTATGAATCTCCACTTTTTTGTTTCTATCTTACTATTTCTCCTCTCAAAGATAAAAGTTTCTTGCAACTAATTGTTGATTTAAGGTGTAAAATACATACCTAGAAGGAAAAAAAAATCCATCCAGCTCTACTTCTATTTTTTTCTCACAAACAGAAGATATAAAGTACATTCATTTGTGATTTAAGAGATTGGGAGCAGTTAATCATTGTGCAACAAGTAACCATCGGTTTGGCTCAATGGTGTGTTAGATTTTGGCTTCTTAGAAACCTGGGGGATTTGGCTATGCTCTGAAGCAGTGCAGCTCGGTGCKGGGAGTTACTGCCAAGGTGTGATTTCCAACTGGATGATTTCAAAAAAAGGTTCTACTCTTGGAAGAGCAAAAAGAGGATAGTTTGTTGAGTGTAGCAACAAGAGACCTTGCTCCTACATTAAATGGAGGGAGTTTCTACTAGTCTGGAGAACGTARAGACTTTTTTAAGGTTCAAGGTTGGTCCTTTTTCCCTATTCTTTTCTCCAGACACCTTTAACCTGAGGTTTGGTGAGATAAGCTCAAAATGTACTCTGGATATTTAAAAGCTTCCAGTTGCATATTTCATTGCTGTTATTTAAACAGTCAACAAACAGGAAATCAAGTGTKGTTTCTATATAGGTTTCTACAAGGGAATTGAAAAGAGACAGAAGATTTTTTTTTAATCAAATATCATCTACATGAAGTTTTGTTTTGTTTTGTTCTTATTAAACATCATCTGTTTTGTGGCCAAAGGGTTCAAATATTACAATTGTTGAAGAAACAGGAGAAACCCYAGACTACAAGTTATCTGAATATGTCATTACTAGGCTCCATAACTTCCAGTAATCAAAAATGAGCATTTGATTAGTGAAGTCCTGGTAATTTTCACTTTTGCTTCTATAATTCTTCATCCTGCAGGATTTGTAGGTAATCTGAACCTCAGAGTGTTCCTCCTGTGGATGGAATGCTCCTTTCCCTTCCCTCATCACAACTGGATTTGGTTCCTTTAAGAAGAATATGACATCTGTGTCCAAATGTATGAAGTTATCTGTCACAGCCGAGCTGTGTGGTGCAGCAACTTGTTTGATGAGCAGTGAAATGAACAACATTTTCCTTTGGCTCCTGTATCCCTTACACTCCCAGACATATGGCAGTGACTTCGGCTCTCCCACAATTTTATTGCAAGGCATTCTGCAGTACCAGGAGTCCYCTTCTGCAGGACTTCTGCTGCCTTCCCCTGTCCTGGACTTCACTTTCTTCATTGCCTTTCCTCTCACCCTGCCGGCATCCACCCTTGTCCAACTCCCCATTCCCCTGTCAGGGTGAGAGTCACCAAGTGCTGGGCTAGTTGAGAGCCAGGGGCTCACTGAGCTCATGCAGAGCCAGCTGGGGAGGGAGACTGTCAGCCACCTTCTGCTGTGGGCACGGGGCTGAGGGGTCTCACCATTGGTAGAGTTTACTATATATTTCCTGTTATTTTATTTACACAAATTTACTCTCTGCCTTTTAAATCTAAGGGAATATAGCCAATGTGCTTCAAGTTGACTGCAAGAAATTCACCTATGGTAGAAAAGAGGCTTTCAAGATTCTCCAGTTTAAGGGGAAAAAAAAAAAAAAAAAAAAAAGGTTTTACTGGTGTTAGTTTGGCTGCCATAGGGAAAATTTCTCCCATTCATTTTAGCAAGCTTGGTTTTATAAAGGTCCAGTAGATAGATTGCTGCAGGTTCTGCTGAATAACAATCACAAAATTGCCCTAATATTTTAAATTTTGCATTTTTAATTTAGCATGTGAGGCAAGGTAATTTTGATCTTTTGACTTTATTTTCTTTTTCTTTCTATTTCTTTCTTCATGTGCCTCACGATAATATCTGGATTGCAGCAAGAGACATCAATGTTTGATCATGCAGCATGGACCAGCTGTGTGCCAGTGATGAAGCCCGTGTCCCAGTGATGAAGCCCGTGTGCCAGTGATGAAACCCATGTCCCTTCTGCGACACCACATGAGGGAGCTCCCCTTCTGTCCTGCCACCAAGGCACTGAGGGACATGTTGCCTCGTAGGTGATGTCTGTCCAGGGGCTGCAACTGAGTCTCTGGTGACRCCTGAACAAAACTCACATAAAGCCGGCAGCGATTCCTTGAGACTTGCTGTGGACTTCAAGTTTATCTCAGCGTGGTTTTTGATTTAATACCCAAGAATACAGTTTTATGCTGCAACCTTCCAGTATATACAGCAAGTATAATTGTATGCAGCACATTCAGAATTACCTAAATGACTCCTTTTGGATCACCTGTCTTTGTTGGACCCTCTAGTGTGTCTAAGTAGCAGAAAGAATTTCTGAGCCAAACAACTAAGGAGGAAAAAATAATTGAGTTTCATTTTATTTTAAACTATGCCTTTTATTGTTATAGTTACTAGTGCATTATTACCACCATTGAGAGATGCCTGTGATCCAAGCAAGTGCACTCAGTTCTTCAGCTCTGAAATTATGATGTGCTACCTTGCATCTCAGACCTAGGCAGCTGCTGCAGCATTAAT